AAAATTTTAGCAAGATTCAATGTTCAGAACCGAAAATGAAAATTAGGGTGGGGGGGGGCTTAAGATAGATGTTTAAATTCAGAATTTGATTCGACTTATCCAATCCATCTAAATGGAATAATAAGACAAGATGAATTTCATCAATCGATTCAAAATATCAATCAAGCAATTAGGTCACCATTGTCTACGATTATTTATGCTCTTCTACTGATTATAGGCTTTGGCGGAGGAATTGTATTATTAATTGTTGGAGTAACAACAAGTGTAACTTCACCAAGTGGATTTCTTGCATTATTATATGTTGCACTTGGATTGCTCATATTTGGCATTCTGGTTTCATCGTTTGGACGTTGCATTATTAGTGCACTACGTACAGCTCGATTGCAACAAGCAGTTGCTAATGAATCGAGGAAATATTCCACAAGATCACCACCATGTAGCTGGCGATTACATGTTTATACTACAGGCAGTTATTCACGTTATCAAAGACCTAAAACCAGCTATCATGTAAGTATCTATTGATGTCAATATTACGAGTAATTTGATTATCTGTGTAGAAATATAAAAAAATTAATTTTATACATTAACCATTCGCTTTGTTTTCAGCTAATTATTGAACTTGCAAATCCTGGTGCACCAGAAAATGGATTTGCACAATATCAATTCAATCAATTTGCTCCCCAACCAATGTCAGTTTTTCCTCAAGATAATTACGAAAATCCTCCTCCATATTACAATCAATATACTGCAGGTTTTTGTTCTTGTTGTGGAGCTGCACGACCAAGTACAAACACAAAATTTTGTTTAACTTGTGGTCAGCCGTTCAGCAATTGATAAATATGTTTGTACCTAGCTAAAATTGTCGGATCAGTTACTATTCTGTTAAATATAAAAGCTTCTTTCCTACATCGTTAGTACTCAAAAAAAAACTTGTCTGATCTCTATAATTAAAAGACTTTGGCAAAAATGATTATACGCATGTTGCTTTCTTCACGCAAGCAGTATTGCTCACACTTTTTCTTGAAATAAATGATATTTATTTTTATGATTTCTTGTCATTGTTCTTGCTGTATAAATGAAAAAAAAATTACATAATAAAATTCTTGATTAACAAGAAATTAAAATTATCATCTTCTTTCTCTCATAATAAATTGTATAGAAAGCATTGGAAAATCTCGAGTTCTAACCTGAACCATCCCATAATTTTCAGTGATCTAAGATGAATATCGCATTTGAAATCCCTATGAACAACATGTCGATTTCTTTTCTTTGTTGTTTGTGATCATATTCTCAGTGCAACAAGTTTTTATTGTCATAAACATCTTCAACTAATAAAGCTGCGAGTGAGGAGAAGCATGAGCCCGCACCCTCAAGAAAGTATCAATGTTGCTATGTTGAAAATATGTACTTACTAAGTCTGTATTGGATTATTTCCCTAGTGAAGCAAAAGTCTAAGTTTGAATTAGTCGTGAGAAAATAGGAAAATTATACGGCCTTATCTTCCAATCTGGATCGTGTGGTTGTGACACAAGCATGCTGATGTAGAAATACTTTTGCAAGAAATCAGATATAAAATGTGATCTAAGTGATGTTTGAATGAGACAGTCGCGTTAATGAAAATCTAAATTATTTTCTGTGGCTTTTAATCGTTTTCACTTACTATTTTTTGCTCATTTACTTTATCGCATGAGGGACGGATATTGAGTTTTAGTTGGGAATCTCGAATAGAGTCCATTTCCATATATTGTTTTTTGTCGAGCTATAACTATTTTATTGATACTTTAACATATGAAAAGGATTTCATGAGAATTGAATCAAAGAACTATCCCACCCTTCTACCAGCTCAATATATTGAGTGGTTCATGAGATATCGTTGCATTATGGCCTTCTTAGCAAGAAACTTCATTTGAGAACTTATATTAAAATGTTCATAAAATATCGAGGAATCAATATTGTTTTGACACGGATTGCGCCAAAATTTTTAGAACATTTGCTTCTACAACATATCTTAAATTGATCAAGATCTGTCAAATTCAATTGAGCATATTAATTCGACCAAAATCAACTAAAAGAATTTGCATTTTTTTTGTTGGAGTCAAGGCCTTTTTATTAAGATGTTAACAAAAAAAAGAAGTAACAATATATACAAGTATACAAAAGACTGGAGAGAAACGTGGAGACGCATGACGAATGTCTTATGTCTCGTGAAAACATGTTATACGATGGAAGTTGTTATAATAGTATATATATATATATATGTATGATGCAAAGTTTAAGCCGGCGAATCCGATATAACAATTTTTACATGTATTCCGGTCGACTCAACAATGATCGGTAAACACGATGCTATATATAATATGTAACATGGGTAGGTGATTTTATTTTCGAAGTTGATTGAATATTTCTTCAAGGTTGTTTTTCAGTGTAATGTCGTTGCTCGATGTTGTAGTTTGAATATACCGCTGAAGTAATGACACAGCATATTCTTTAATTTTGGGGACATTGCTTACTTGATGAATATATTCAACTGATGTGTATATGGGCAATCCTAAAGCTGCACGTATTGATTTATTTTGTATAATTTGTAGGCGTTCCCAGATTTTATCATTAGCCTGAAGTAATATTGGATAACCATATAAAAGGATCGTTCTTGCTATAGCTTTAAAGATGTTTAACATTATTTTGTCGTTCGGTTCATAAGAAGCTTTACTAAGGAATCTTAATAAACTGATACGACCAGCAATCTTCGATTCTATCTGGTGTATATGATTTCTCCAGTTTAAAGTTTTGTCGATGATGATGCCTAAGTATCTTGTTGAGTTGGTGGGTTGGATTATTACATTATCTATTTTTACTGATTATTGGATTTTTGAATTTTCTTCTTGGATGGAGGGTGAAATGTACTAATTCAGTTTTTGTTGGCTGAAGCTTTAACTTCCATGATTTACACCAGCTTTGAAAAGCATCTGAAGCTTGTTGTAGTCTGGAGCTAAGGCTTGATGTTATATTTGGTGATGTCCATAATGCAGTGTCGTCAGCAAATAAATCATATTGTGTATGTTCAGGTACTCCGTTCATTGAATCTGCCGTGTATATAATGTATAATAATGGTGATAACGGAGATCCTTGAGGAGTACCGCTGTTAAGATGTAATAGTTTTGATAAGCTGTTTTCTATTTCAATTGAAGCAGTTCGATTTTGGAGGAATGAAATAAGATAATACATTAAATATTTTGGAATACGTAGTTCATTTAATTTATATATTAGTCCATCATGCCAGACAGAGTCGAAGGCTGCTTTAATATCAAATAGAATGACTGCTGAATGACGTCGACGACCATTTTGTTCTAGATTATTACGAGCATACTTAGTCAACCTTATGATGTTGTTTAATGTGCTCTTTTTAGGTCTGAAGCCGGCTTGATGTTCTGGTAGAATGTTTCGTTGTTCCAGGATGTTCATCAGACGTTGTTTCATTATTTTCTCCAAACGTTTACCAAGACAACTAAGGAGACTTATTGGACGATAACTTGAAGGCTGTTGTTTATCTTCATTTGGCTTTAATAAGAGAATAATATTAGCCTTTTTCCATCCATTTGGTACATATCCAATATTTAATATAAAGTTAAATAATTTAGTTAAATGTTTGATCAATAATTCCGTGTAGTTCTTTAAACATCTAGTGTGGATATTGTCAGGACCACAGGAGCTATTTCGGAGTTGTTTATCGTCCATTTAACTTCTTTAGAAGTGATCTTCTTCCACTTGTTTAATTTCGTGTTAGAAGATTCATGTATGATGTTACGTGCCTGCCTTGTTACTTGCTGATGAAATTGTAGTGTGTCCGGTGGTTTGACATACACTTCATTTTGGAAATATTCAGCAAATAAATCCGCTTTTTCTTTGTCGAATGTTGCTATGGGTAATTCCTTGGGAAACGTACCACATTTACATCGACTTTCTCAGAATTGGCTGAGACTTTCAAGGTTTGTAGAACTCGGCTAGCTGATCATTTTGGTAATAAATTTTTAAGTATTTGAATCTATTATAACGATAAAACAGGCAAAATACATTTTCAGAATTTCCTACGGAAATATGGTACCATAAGAGGGTCGTGAACATTGTGTGATTAATTTCTCGATCATTTGACAATCAAAACAAAATGTTTTATGCATATTCTGATAGCTCTAGTCGAGATATATTCAACCAGGTAGATCAGTTTCCAGTTTAAAACATTAAATGTGACTTCAATTATGTGAAAGCTACAGAACTTTATTGTCTAATAAAACGTCTCTTCCGAATTTGGGAAAAAATTGGCACTATAGATTTTATAGAATGTCGATCCCTCTATCTTATGGTATATTTGGAATGTCAGCTGTTTTCAATTTCTAGTTGTTAAGGCCCCCCACCCCTCAAAAAAAGTCTATTTTCGTGAAAAATTCCGAAACTGAGATAAATGCATGGAGAGATAGCCCGTCTTCGGTTCTTTCAGAAATGCTAAAGGTTTTTCTCAAAAACCCTTTTTCGGCTGAAAATCTCGAGGGTTTCTGTAAGCCCCTGAAAAAAAAAGTTTTTTCATTGAAAAAAAAGAATTTCAAGGTTTTTCTAAAAAGTGAATATTTTGATAAATTTGAAAAAATTGCTGAAAATTGCGAAAAATTAAAAAATTTCGAAAAAAGTTTTCGCAAAAATGTTTTTCGCTTTTTCTCAGTTTCCACTTTCTCAAAAAGGCGTCCCAAATTTCTTTCTCCCGGTTCGATCAACATATAATCTTTTTTTTTTGTTCGAAAGAGCATCTCAAGGCGTAGGGCCAACCATCGCCCTTTTTTTGAATTAAACCTTTGTTTGGTCAGTATAAAGCCATTTATACGATTTTGCTACCATTTTTTGACACTTTTTGGAGTCACTGAACTTGTGATCGTTTTTTTCAGCTAAAAATACCTATTTCAAAAACAAAGCGGCCATGGTTGGCCCTCCGCCTTGAGATGCTCTTTCCAACAAAAAAAAATTTTTTTATTTTGAACGAACCAGGACTGAAATATTTGGGACGTCAAATTGGCCATTTTTGACCCTTGTTTGGTTCATATCTCCCTGAAACCTGAATGTTGTGGGCTCAAATTTTTATGGTAGTCTTATCTTTTTAGCCCCAACATATCCTGAAAGTTTCATGTAATTTGAATGCTCCTGGGCTAAAATAAGTTTTGGAGGGGGGAGGGGGGGGCTTAAAGAATATGAATACTAATTTAGTAGCATTTTTTCATTGATTTTTGATGATATTTCGGGATTTTTTCGAGAAGTGATCGCTATATCATTCTGAAAATTTAACCAGACAAGTAAAGTTCATCGACGGTGAAAGTCGATTCACTGGGCCCTAGACTGACGGAGTATGACAAGCATGCACTTATACTTTGGTATATCAAGCGAAATATGCGCATATGAAAGAGTGTTACATAAGATGATGATATTTTGAAAAATAGCATATATTGTATATTATAGAAGTATAACTGGAAAAAAAAGGCGTCAGACGAATCCAAGACGGTTTCGTGGAGCGTTACAATATTCCGGAGGTTACCGTGCACATCCACGGAATCTCTACGAGGTTTAGTGAAAAACAAGGTTTCGCATTAATCTTCTGCAATTTTTCAAATTGCAAAAGGTTTCGTGATAAGCTCTCATAGGTTTGGTATGTTACTAAATTTTTTAATATACCCTGTGATAATTTCACAATAGTGATATATTATACAGATACGACCTCTCTTTGACGTTACGTATGACTGACTAAAATGGAAACCAATGATATAATCAACCGGTATCCACTTATTTTCGATCGTTGTTCAATAGATTTCGCTAATAAACGTTTTAATTAATTTTTATAATTTTTTTATTAGATCATCTGTTGATTATTTTCCTTGTCGAAGTAGCTACCGTCCTTCTAAAGAATTTAAAGATTGTTAAAAAAACTGTGTTGTTTGTTGTTGTAGTCTTTTTAAGTCAGTTGCCTTTCTTTCAACACAAAAACAAATTACATTGAAAATTATATTTTTTATTCAGGTAGCC